ACACTCTCATCTCCAACTAAACAATCAACTTGAGAAGTTCTTCAGGTCGTGCTACATTTACTGATACATATACAGATAGATGGTCACTTTCTCACCACGACCATTCCCCGGTATAGATGGTCACTTTCTCACCACAACCATTCCCCGGTATAGATGGTCACTTTCTCACCACAACCATTCCCCGGTATAGATGGTCACTTTCTCACCACAACCATTCCCCGGTATAGATGGTCACTTTCTCACCACAACCATTCCCCGGTATAGATGGTCACTTTCTCACCACAACCATTCCCCGGTATAGATGGTCACTTTCTCACCACAACCATTCCCCGGTATAGATGGTCACTTTCTCACCACAACCATTCCCCGGTATAGATGGTCACTTTCTCACCACAACCATTCCCCGGTATAGATGGTCACTTTCTCACCACAACCATTCCCCGGTATAGATGGTCACTTTCTCACCACAACCATTCCCCGGTATAGATGGTCACTTTCTCACCACAACCATTCCCCGGTATAGATGGTCACTTTCTCACCACAACCATTCCCCGGTATAGATGGTCACTTTCTCACCACAACCATTCCCCGGTATAGATGGTCACTTTCTCACCACAACCATTCCCCGGTATAGATGGTCACTTTCTCACCACAACCATTCCCCGGTATAGATGGTCACTTTCTCACCACAACCATTCCCCGGTATAGATGGTCACTTTCTCACCACAACCATTCCCCGGTATAGATGGTCACTTTCTCACCACAACCATTCCCCGGTATAGATGGTCACTTTCTCACCACAACCATTCCCCGGTATAGATGGTCACTTTCTCACCACGACCATTCCCCGGTATAGATGGTCACTTTCTCACCACAACCATTCCCCGGTATAGATGGTCACTTTCTCAACACAACCATTCCCCGGTATAGATGGTCACTTTCTCACCACGACCATTCCCCGGTATAGATGGTCACTTTCTCACTACGACCATTCCCCGGTATAGATGGTCACTTTCTCACCAGGACCATTCCCCCGGCTTTCTCTTGAAGCAAGTTTTGTTCACTGAACCGTTGTTTGCTTGGTATGAAATGCCCTTCACTGTTCTGAAAATACTTTAAACCAAACTTTAACATTTAATTCTAATCTTAATGCATCAGACGGAATTGCGTTTCCGGTATACTTGTCACATTTCAGAATGAATTATTGAATTTCTTCTAGTAGGGCAACTCCAGACTCTTTGTTACGGATGTCACCATCCACTTAACTGTGTTCAGTGTCTTCAATGTGTTCGGTGTGTACAGGTTCAATCTTATCAGATGTAGCCTGGTCAACATGTTCAGCATTATCATAAAATTTCGTTGTCTCCCCTTCCTTTGATTTTCATGCCAATATTTTCACTAGCACCCTCAACACTACCACCCTCACCACTAGCACCCTCACCACTTGCATCCTAACCACCAGCACGCTCACCATTAGCACCTTTGTAATCGATCCACCTTTAGACACATTTGTTACCTGATCAACCTTTAGACACATTTATTACCTGATCAAACTTTAGACACCATTGTAATCGATCCACCTTTAGACACAGTGTTACCTGATCATTTAGACACATTGTTACCTGATCAAACTTTAGACACATTTGTACTCAATCCAACTTTAGGCACATTTGTAATCGATACAACTTTAGAGTCCAACAAACAAGTGGAGGTCTAGGTGTCTCCACGGAACCTGTCAAACTACTTGAGCCATGTGTTTGAATGAAAGGCGCGAGGGACATGGCTGATTTTTTGCGTCCTTTGCCTCCATCTTTCGTTTCTTTCGCCCTTCAGCTCCAGTTTTCTTCTTTGTGTCAAATCGCTCCATGTTCTTCTTTCTTTATAAAAAATAATAAAATAGTCGAGTACAAACCTATAGTATATTTCGAACAATCTATAATTGTATCTGTACCGCACTCCAATTTTTTTTCTATACTAAGAAACCTGTAATGGGTACTGATGTAGAAATTAGGACTTTGTCTGGCCTGTCTACGGAGCGAAACATATTTTTATTAATGTAAGCTGTGCTGATCAGGGATGGGTGTTTATTTTTGTAGGGAGACTCCAAACCCCTTCAACAAAAAGAAAATACATTGTTGTCCCTGCAGATTAGAAGCTGCCACTTACAAATATAATAATTGAGTTTTTAGCACCCGCTTCAAATGGCGCCCAGGGCATCTGCCCTACCTGCCATATATATCCTAGGTACGCCACTGTATCGAAATAAGATATGCCAGGCTGTATATCCATGATTTCACGGTATTTAACTAAAGTCAAATGCGTATTATTATAATAAGTGATGTTAGTCGTGTTTAGGAGTGTGACATTCTTTGTACACTAATATACGTTTTATAGCCCTAGCCCTTTGTACACTTATAGTTACATTCTAACCCACCATTCTATACAACTATAATATAGAATATAGTGAAATTCTAACCCACCATTCTTATCAACTATAATATAGAACAAAGTGACATTCTAACCCACCATTCTATACAACTATTATATAGAATATAGTGACATTCTAGCCTTTCAATGCACACCCCCTCCCCCCAACCCATTACCAGTTCATCCTTACGGGAACTTTGCGTTCTTTGATCAAAATAAAACTAGTTTTTTTTTCCCCTCTGGTGGATAAAAAAAAAAAACCACGACAGTCATAACTGATGGTTTTATGACACATAACTTCTTTATAGTTGACACATTTTACACACTGTGTAGTTGAAGTTACTTGGGGTGTGTTCATTGGACGTTATCAACTCAGCTATCCCTTAACTTTGTAGTTTAATACACGATTCGAAATGAATTTGGACTTTACAAAATTAGCATTTGAAGAACTGTAAACACGGTGACATTAGCGAAAGTTTTTGTGAATATGTGTGATTAGTTTCAGATAATGAAACTTTCGGTAAGTGGATTTTGGGTATATCTTATACTTTATTGGTTAATATTCCTTTATATAAGTAAGATATGCTATTCCTTTATATAAGTAAGATATGCATTGTTGTAAGCCATACTTTTTTTTTTCTTTAAAAAAAATATTTAAGCACAATATTTAAAGACGTTTTCAGCTGGTGCTATATTAGAAATCTAGAGATAGACCTACTGTGTCTCATAGAAATTGTACTTTAAATGAGCTAAATATGTTTACAGATTTGTTATTTGAAAAAAAAACATTTTCGCAACGTTACAACTGACGAATGTTTCAATGGAGTCATGAGATGTGGTCTCGTTGGACGCCATCAACATTCTGTCGGTCTAATCTTCCATCAAAATATCAACCCCCTCCCATTTTAGTGCTGATCCCGTGCGTGTCCAATGAAGGCTGCGGCCATTGTGTTGGGAATGCCTTAACGACAGTTTTAACTGCAGGTAGAACTGAAGTGAACATTTAAACACGTTTAGAGAAAGATGATGTGAAAGGGCGGGGGAGGGGGAGCGAAAAAAAAAGGGGGGGGGGTGGCGCCGTTCCGGCACGTCCTCAGGTCGCAGATGCTTGTAATGTCTATGTCACTGTGTAGAACTTAATACTATCTGAGACAACGGCTTGTGAGGGGGGGGGGGGGGGGGGGAGAAAGAAGGGGGGGGGGGGGTGGCGCCGTTCCGTCACGTCCTCAGGTCGCAGATGCTTGTAATGTCTATGTCACTGTGTAGAACTTAATACTATCTGAGACAACGGCTTGTGTCAGTGCATGTGTGTTACTATGTCATGGCCTAAATGTGTAGTTTGAACGATTTAGAGAAAACAGTGTAACTTTACGACTTGAGATGTCGTTAGAGAGTAAAGTCTTTGTTCTAAAAGACGAAGCCGCGAATAGCATGCTGTGAACTTATATATATTTTGTATATGTCTTTCCTTTTTTATTAAAAAAACTAACGTTTAGATAGGCTTAGGGGTGACATCAGAGGAGTATCAGGCAGAGGGGGTACAGGGGTATTTGCTTCTCCTCCCCCTAAAATATGTTCGAATGGAAATTTTTTCAATTAAAAAAATATATTTGACTGTCAATAGCATAGATATAAATGTTTAAAATGGCAATGAGATCAAGAATGATCGAACGTATGCAATACATTTTCATTTGGGATGGTTGTGTTTTTATTTATTTTTTACTAAATTCACCAATAATTGAATTAACTTAAATTCTGATTTTTAAATTATTCGAAAAAAATTCCTTTCAAACTAATAACTGTCAAACAAATGTTCACTTCATTTCGTACAAAAAATCCGGTAACCCTTCTAGGGTAATTAAGTTTGCTCTATCTCCTTTCCTCTAAATATTTTTATATTTCTTGGGGGGGGGGGGGGGTGGGGGGGTTGGGGGTTTCTAACTGGTCTATAAAAAAATCAATGCAGCAGTTTCTATCGTAACAAATGTTCCTTCTCCTTAAAATCAAACAATCCATCTGCCGTTGACTGCAACGCAACTTTCAACTTGAATGGTGAACTTTGAATTTTTTTATATATATATATATACATTTTTTTACAAACTGTCATCTCGGAGAACGGAAAGACAATCCGAATTTGAACGTGGAAAATGACTCTTTAAGTTTTCTTGAAGTTCAAAGTTCACGACAGAAAGTTTCATTATTTTTTTAAAAAATAATAATAATAATAATAAATGGATTAGAAACGAATTAAAATTGTCACCAATAAACGTATTTAAATATTAAAATCTGAATGCCATCATTAACCATCTTTTAAAATTCAAAATTAAAACGATAATAAATTGTATCTCCCCTCAGACTTGACCAGAGTACCGAACACTCTCAATGACAGCACGCAAACCACTGGAGTGATGAGCGTCAAGACTTTTCTTTTCCTTAAGAAAATCATTTAACAACTCACGAAGCTTCCAGAAGTTGGTTTTTTTTTTTTTTGTTGTTTTTTTTTTTTTTTGTTTATTTTTTTTTTTTTTTTTTTTTTCTTTTTTTTTTTTTTGGTCTCCATGTAAAGAAATTCGGGATAAAAATGAAGCTCAGTTGCCATGGTGAAATTTGGTTGCACTACGAGAGTAGTAATCGGGGCCATAGGAAAAATATTGTTTTCAAAACGTATAACTTGAGTTAGAATATACGTGATGCCTGCTACATCCCATCATATTACAGTAGAAGATTGCTGAACAGAAGAGCGTAGCATAGTGTTCCTCTCTAGACATGGGGCTGTCCAAGAAGTTGGGTGCCATAACCCAAAGGGTAACGGGTCCGGACTCGAGGGACGTCCCATACAAGTGGAGCAACCAGACGTACACCGTACAAGAAATACTTCACAAGTTTAAACTTCCGTGTGTAGTCCAGTGTGCCACAGGTCAGTTGTGTGTGTCGCGGATCAGTTTGTGTGTGTTGGCGTGTGTAATACATATCAGTGTGTGTGTGTGTGGTGAAGTGTGCTGCAGATTATATGTTGTCGTGTGTCAATGTCATAGGATGCATATCACTTTGTGTGTTGTCAAGTGTGCAACCTCTCAATTATTTGTTACAGACAGAATCATTATCTAATGGGGAAAATACTCGTGCATGCTTTTGTATAAACGCTTCCATTATATAGAACAGGATTTTTAAAAGCATATATTACATTTAAAGTACCGTATATATTACATATAATGTAAACCTCTCATTTTAAGTATACGTTACATTTAAAGGATTAATACCCTATCACTTATTTATCGTTTATGTTGTGGTTTATGTTATAGCTTATGTTCTGGTTTATGTTATGGTTTATGTTATGGTTTATGTTCTGGTTTATGTTCTGGTTTATGTTCTGGTTTATGTTCTGGTTTATGTTCTGGTTTATGTTCTGGTTTATGTTCTGGTTTATATTCTGGTTTATATTCTGGTTTATGTTATGATTTATGTTATGGTTTATGTTCTGGTTTATGTTATGGTTTATGTTCTGGTTTATGTTATGGTTTATGTTATGGAATATGTTATGGTTTATGTTATGGTTTATGTTATGGTTTATGTTCTGGTTTATGTTCTGGTTTATGTTATGGAATATGTTATGGTTTATGTTCTGGTTTATGTTCTGGTTTATGTTATGGAATATGTTATGGTTTATGTTATGGTTTATGTTCTGGTTTATGTTATGGTTTATGTTATGGTTTATGTTCTGGTTTATGTTATGGAATATGTTATGGTTTATTTTATGGTTTATGTTATGGTTTATGTTATGGTTTATGTTATGGAATATGTTATGGTTTATGTTCTGGTTTATGTTCTGGTTTATGTTCTGGTTTATGTTATGGAATATGTTATGGTTTATGTTATGGTTTATGTTCTGGTTTATGTTATGGTTTATGTTATGGTTTATGTTCTGGTTTATGTTATGGAATATGTTATGGTTTATTTTATGGTTTATGTTATGGTTTATGTTATGGTTTATGTTATGGAATATGTTATGGTTTATGTTCTGGTTTATGTTCTGGTTTATGTTCTGGTTTATGTTATGGAATATGTTATGGTTTATGTTATGGTTTATGTTCTGGTTTATGTTATGGTTTATGTTATGGTTTATGTTCTGGTTTATGTTATGGAATATGCTATGGTTTATTTTATGGTTTATGTTATGGTTTATGTTCTGGTTTATGTTATGGAATATGTTATGGTTTATTTTATGGTTTATGTTATGGTTTATGTTCTGGTTTATGTTCTGGTTTATGTTCTGGTTTATGTTATGGTTTATGTTATGGAATATGTTATGGTTTATGTTATGGTTTATGTTATGGTTTATGTTATGGTTTATGTTATGGTTTATGTTCTGGTTTATGTTATGGTTTATGTTATGTAATATGTTATGGTTTATGTTATGGTTTATGTTATGGTTTATGTTCTTGTTTATGTTCTGGTTTATGTTATGGTTTATTTTATGGAATATGTTATGGTTTATTTTATGGTTTATGTTATGGTTTATGTTATGGTTTATGTTATGGTTTATGTTATGGTTTATTTTATGGTTTATGTTATGGTTTATGTTATGGTTTATGTTATGGTTTATGTTATGGTTTATGCTATGGTTTATGTTATGGTTTATGTTATGGTTGATTTTATGGTTTGAATTATCTCCCTTAACTTTTCATCCGTGTCTTGTTTTCAACCCGACAGAAGCGTGCACGGTGCTGTGGTCAGACTTCCAGTTTGATCTGAGGCAGCCACTCCTCTTCTACAGCAGGAGAACCGTGCAGAAGGTGCACGCGATCAGCCTCAAGGCCGACCCCACCAACAGTGAGACCCTGGATGAGATTGGGCCACCACTGGCCATCCCAGCCGACTATGAAGGTACATAGCGAGTACTGCCGTGAGTGGCCTATGTTATGGCCTGAGCACCCCTAATGCCAGTGACATGAAATATTTGCGTATCATTAGCATAGTCCTGACCTAACGTTACACTGACAAGTGACAAGTTGTTTTATCATGCAATTTTACACGCATTATTTGATTGTTCAACTATTCCTGGGCAATTATTATACCTTCTTGATTTGTGTTTCAAAATTACTTCACAGGATGGTTCGGCGCCACCCCGAAAGGAATCAACAAAATAAAGCGTCACCTGAGGATAGAGGCCGTCGCCAACTCAGCTGCTCGTCGCTTTCTTGTCACGACCCAGTGCCCCGCCTTCACGTCAAGCCGGGCGCCGGACGGGAGCTTTGAATACGTCCCGCACGATGTGATGCCCGGCGAGGTGCTGAAGAAGGTCTGCGTCATGGAAGGGTCGCCCGGCGACCCGGACGCGCCGCAAATTCTGAAAGATCACGGTCCCTGCCTGGAGTGCCTGGACGAGAAGGACGAAGATGTGGTCATCCCACTCTCTCGAAGAGTTATGTGTTACGAGCTGGCCGAAGAATACCCCGATGATGGAGAAAGGGTGTTTCGCATAGCTGCGCCTATGACCACCGGGAGTTCCAAATTTCCCAGAATTTTTCAACTTATTCACGGGGAACCCCCTGTCTTGAAGTACGCGTTCACCGGAATGATCAGGTGTTACAGTGTGTTTACGGAAGAGACTATCCTGGCCGCGACGCTGGACGACCCTAAGTCTATCTGCCTGGAGCTGGCCACGGATTCCGTTGCCAGGTTCAGGATAGGACTCAACGACGCCGCCATAAAAAGAACGTGCGAGTACAACAACGCGAACCAAATCTGCGATTCGTTTGGCCCGAAATTTCTCACCGCCATCAAAGTCTCGTTCTCGCTCAAGCCCGAGTTCGTAGGACAGGACGATGTCGAGATGTCGTCCAACGACAACGAGGTGTCATCCAACGACAACGAGGTGTCATCCAACGACAACGAGGTGTCATCCAACGACAACGAGAGTCTCAGCGACATGCAGGATGTCAACGCAGACTCTGAGTTTGAAATCGCCTGGGGTTCTGTCCAGAAGACCAAACCGCTGACGTCGTCCCAAGCCACCGATGACGAGGGAACGATGACAAAGACTGAGAATGGTCGGGCAATGGAACTGGTCCATTTACAGGACGTGCGGGGTTCCAAAACCCCGTTTGTTAAACCCAGAACTCTTAACATTGAATCCACTGAGCAGAGGAATGACAGCGGTGATTTGCGTGACCACCAGGCGTTCACGGAACAAGAGATGGTCGACTTGATGAAGAAAAAGGGTTTAATTGAATTGAAGGCGGAAACTATTCCGGAATTCGGTTCGATTCGGGAAACACGAGTCCGAGACAATCCACTGTATTATTTCATGCAAAGAAACCCGGACCAAAACCCGTTCAATGGCACGGAGGAGGACTGCATCTCTGAATCCTCAAAGACTGGCGATGACACTCTTAATGACGCCGTAGATGACGTCATCAATGATGTTGTGTATGACGCGGTTGAAGAAAACCCGTTGATGTATTTATTCCAACCTTTAACGAAGTTGGAGCCAGCAGACGTGACCAAGAATGTGACTGAATTAGGAAATTTGACGAAAGAAAGTGTGCAGCAAAAACTTTCTTCAGCCAGTTCTGTGTCGGGATTTGACCAAGTCGTTTGTAAACCAGCGCAGGAGTACAAGGAATCTCACTCTGAGAGTGACAGTGATGGGAGTGACAGTGAAGGAAGTGACAGCGATGCAATCGACAGTGATGGAAGTGACGGTGATATCTTTGAGACTTCTCCGAGCCTGGCCGAAAACTCGACTACAACGCTTCAAATTCGCCCTGGCATTCTGGAATCTGAGTATGTTAAGAGATTAAACAACAAAGATGCCAATATTGACGACGACGACGACAAAATGGACGATAAGAATGATAACAAATATCCCATCGATGACAACACGGAGTATCACATATATGAAAACGTAGATGACATTTATGAGGACTACAGCCAATCTGACACTGACTCCGAGTCACACGCTGTCGATGATCTCATGTCGCTGGCGCTCGAGGAGACGGAAAAATTGTCCACCTCTTCTCAAGATGTTTCCGTGACGAGCGGAAACTGCGCACAGACACAGCCTAACGGAGGAAATTGCGTGGGAATAATGCGGAGCTCGTCTCCGGCGAAATGCGAGGTTAAACCAATTACCGCGGATGGAGCAGCATCGTCTGGTGAGAAAGATAAATCCGACGAGGCTGTGACGCGACTGAACAGTTTGATAGAGGAAGTGACCGCGCTCGTGAACACGTCAAGTAATCGGATACTCGATGTTAGGAGGAGTCCGCGGGAGACGAGTAGGAGCAGGGCAAACTCGAACACGGCAAAGGACGGGGATCGAGTGAGCTGTGACGATCGAGGAAGTAACAAAAGGCTGAATGACAACCCGGGCAGCCCATCTGTTGTAGACCTCAAAACTTCTGTGACACATTCGACGAATCAAACCTACGATACTCCAAGATCTGACCGAGATTTCGCTGACGTTTCAATGGTCCCCACTTTATTTGTGCAAGCGCCGAGTAAAGACAATGTCTCAGTGCTGAATGTTTTAGATACGAAAAGTGACATGACTGCTTCGAAAAGTGACACGAATGTTTCGAAAAGTGACCGTGTACATGTGTTGTTAACAGAACAGAAAACCCCCATCAGTACGACATCTACGTTGACAGATGTGACACCTGAGTCAGGCAGGTCAAAATCAGACGATACGCCAGGTGTTCTGAGGCGATCACGCGCTGAGGTTAACCTGCCCAGCGCGGTCCCTCAAGGTCTACAAAAAACGTACAGCGCACCATGGTTACTCGCGGTCAGTTCTACGTCAGACCCTGTATTGAACAGTATCGTTAGTCATGAAAAGTCACTTGACCAACGATTCTTATCGCGTAGAATTACCCATTTCCCTCATGAACATCCACACGGTCCAGGTGAAACACTCAGCCGAGATGCCAGGCCAGCTGTTGGTTCTATCTCCCGGAGAGATGATGTGCACCTCCAAACCGTTCAGACAAATGTGTCTTCTTTAAAAGGGACCGTGTTAATGCCCTTGCAAAACAGTGAAAGAATGATCTCCCCTACCTGCAGCGTCAGCAGCTTAAACAGCAGCATCACCAGCTTGAACAGCAGCATTACCATAGTCAGCTGCTTGAACCCGGACATGAAAGAACTAGACGGTCTCAGTTTTTCCGAGGACGTGCCGGAGAGTGACTCCGAGAGCAATTCAGAGTTATCCCACTTCTCGGTCAGGTCAGAACGCTCGCTTGTGTTGGAGAAAGAAAAAGTTTCTTTGAAACGGGATTCCAATTCGGACCTGTTCAAAATGGCGGACAAATTTTCGTTTTCCCGAAGTGGGAAATTAAAATCTGGCAAAAATAAAACTGTTGGATCTCGTGCTCGTATTTTGTCTCAAGAGATGGAATACGAAGACTTTGTGTAAGTTTGGGAGAACTCATTTGATTACAGCGATGGCCTTGAGTTCCCGATCTATCCCGTTGGGCGGTATGTTTAAGAATGTAGTGAACGGCGAAACAAAAAGAAATTGTTGTGAGTGAATTTAAAAAACAAACAAACGGACCCATGTTGTGTTATCAATATAAATACATCGTTACATTACATCTTTTAATATTTTGTATTATACTCTGTATCATAATATGTATCCGATTGTATGAATTATAGATCTCTACCAGTTGTATAACAATTTTAATTTAAATAACTAGTTGTAGCGGGCCGTAATAATTCACCCACCCCACCCCCTTCAGTTACTGTGCCATTTGCGTTCCCTTGTACGTTTTTAAATAAGTTTCACTCCTAATGCGCTTAGGGTCCACACAAATGTTGTCAAAATGGTATTTTAGTTATTTTAATGGTATTTAGTTTTAGCCCGTAACATAAGTTCGCATAAATGTTTGATAAATATTGTTGAAGTTTTAATAATCAGATGTAGTTTACTTACACGTGTTTTAAACTGACATGTGTTGAAAGGTAAAGCTGAAGAACATGCATTTTAGTTTGTATCAGTGCTACACATAGACGTATCTAGAAAAAGGCTCTGGCCATGCTACCTACGTTTATCTCTTTAAATTCTCTTACCCAACCATCGTTGAAGATTTGAGTTAGAGCAAAGTCCGTTGATTTAATTCCGTTACGTTGCTTCACCATAGATAGGGCCATCGTGGCCGGTACGTTAGCCATTGGTCTCATGCGGCCATCGGACAATCAAAAAAGTAAGGCCACCTGAAAATTTAATTCTCAATATTTTATCTTTTCGACATTTTATTTGAAACTTTTCCAAAATAGTCCGCCATTTTTACGTCTGGCTAATCTCGGGGCTGAATTACGAGTTCAAGGGTTTATTTCGTTTTAAACCACAGTATCGACAAGAGCCGCCGACTGAATCTTGGAGGCCGAACTATCTCTCCCCCCCCCCCCACACGTTTGGTACTACCTGCATTATTAGTTTAGAGTTTAAATTTCCTTCCACATTATTTCGTTTTAAACCACAGTATCGACAAGGGCCGCCGCCTGAATCTTGGAGGCCGAACTATCTCTCCCCCCCCCCCCACACGTTTGGTACTACCTGCATTATTAGTTTAGAGTTTAAATTTCCTTCCACTTCACAACTTTGGGCCCCCTTAAATGACCGTGGCCCCCTTCAACCGCATGCGTTGTAGGGCCCCACACGACGGATTTGTTTTGACCATTGGTGAAACAAAAAAATTGAAAAAATATCTTAGTAAATGACATGTGGAAAAAATAATATTTTTTTTACTTCAATCGGTGTCATAAAATGAATACAACAAATATCTTGACTCAATTTAGAAGTGTTCAGCGTGTAAAGTAATTTGATTGACTTTAGGAATATGGCTGTCGCTGTGGCTTGATGGCCGCAGGTGTTGCTAAAAAGGAGAGAGGTGACCTTCCGTGGCCATAAGGTATAGGAATGATAAGAAATATTTAGGTGTAAATTATTGCCGTGTGCAACTGTATTATGTTTTTTAACATGCGAAGTCTAAATGTAGAATGTTAAGTGCTTTCGGATATTTCATATGGTTGGATGAAATGGATGCCGAAAGTTTAAGTCCAAGCTGACGAGATAGTGGCATACTGTTCACAAGAACCTAGAAATATAGAATTAAGGCATGCGCAGGGGCGTAGGAACGGAGGCGGGTGGGACAGTCCGCCCCGAGAAACACTTTTTACATTTGTATTATTAAAAGGCAACATATTCTGACAGTTGCAGAGATTTTTCGTAGAAGGGGCCGGCACTAATCCTCTATAGCCCAAAATAGTATTTTAAGAAGTAAGAAATAAATCTCCAAGTTTAACAAAATTCGTTCGATAGAACAGTTTTTTTTTTTTTTTTTTTAAACAAATTTCATTCTTATTACGGGACGGGTATACATAACTATTTATCAGACATTAATAATATTATGTTAAACTAGACAGTATAGAATGACATGTCTTAAGCGCAATTTTGAATCAAGACATATTTTTATATATGTTTATGTATATAATATGTTTATGTATATAAAATATGTATAAAATATATGTGACAAGTTCAAGTTTTACTTATGTTTTTGTCTTCATTGAAGTTACTTCTTTTTTTTATTATTTCGTTTCTTGAAGCTTTTAATCAGTGTGTCGCTGAGGTTCACGTGGGAAGATGAGATTCGAGTGTGTCTCTGCGGTTCGCGTGTGTCTCTGAGGTTCGCGTGTGAAGATGAGATTCGCGTGTGTCTCTGCGGTTCGCGTGTGTCCCTGCGTTTCGCGTGTGTCTCTAAGGTTCGCGTGTGTCTCTGTGCTTCGCGTGTGTTTCTGCGGTTCGCGTGTGCGTCCCGCAAGATTTTGGATCAGTTTTCCCCAACCTTCTCTATACTCCAACTCCCCTACGAATTTTATACAAATCTTGCACCCGCTACGTGTTATAGTTATTGTACTAAGTCTCTGTATTTTAAATGTTATCTCATGTATTAGAAATGAGTATTTCTAATCTCTTTTCCTCGCCCCACCTGAAATGCCACTTAGCGACCCGTAGAGTGCCAGCACAACGAATAGATAAACTCAAGTAGAGAAATGAATTATAATGGATACTGTAAAAAGG